GCTACTCATTACGACCACCTCTTGACGTAGTATGCTGAGGACACTTCAAATTCCTTCAGAGTAAACTTAAGCACTATATCGTTCAATAAAAACTAATGAGGGCATCAGCATTAATTGTCTTAAAGCAGCGTATTCAAAAGACCCTCATAATGTTGATTTTACCCCGGCACACTCGGATGAGACGAGCCTCATAATTACGACACACACACAACTCGATAAATTGCAATCAAAAAGAAACTCCGGCCTAGAACATAGCGTTCTAGAAGGGTAAGTTTTTCGGAACACTTGAACGATTACTGCACGTATGACACTACATAACGTTTTGTTTCATCTCGATTCTTTGTATTATTGTGTGAAAAAAATGAACGCAAACCATTTTGACATGCATATATATAATTAAATTTCTTAATAAAAAACAAAAAGGTTATTGCTGTTATTACGTTTATGTGCATACATTTTTCCCCTAAAAAAACTCCATTGTGCAAAAAATCGTTTCCATGTTGTCGCATGTTTACGAAACGCATGAGTGTGTTTTTTCATTTTGTCGCCCATTTGTGTCCTTACGGGTGTACGGGTGTATTTCGACATGCACTTACATATCCTTTTTTTCAGGACTGCTGGTGATAATTAAAAACACGATGAAGATTCGGAAAGGAGCTAATTTCAAAAAGGGCAGTGAATTTTGTACTTGTGGTGATTATACTTGCTTTTGGTACTTATTGCACTAAAAAGCATTCTTGGTCGACTTTAACTAAGAGTTCTTTGGTTAAAGTTTGAAATTTTTGCTACATTTTGTCCTGAGTACCTGTTTTTAGTCCTTGACTAACACTTGTGTTCACATTGTTATCATTTTTTGTTTTTAAACCTTTTAAATCGAATTACAATGCTTGGTAAGACTCACAAATGTGGGCAACCAAACTGTTTGTTCCCTGTGGAAGAGGGATGCAGTATGACGAATGCCATAAGTGGTTCCACAAAATGTGCACCCGCTTAAGTCCCACTGCATACAAAAGATGCTCGAAGCCTAACTCACATTGGCTTTGCATGTTTTGCTGTGCCAACAAGGCATTACTAATACAGGAGGCTATGAGCCTGTTGGCTTTGGCCTGTAAAAAGAAGGATGGCATATGCGCCGACAACACGGGCACTGACAGCGACGAATGTGTCAGTGTAGTACCTGCTGTTACGCGACGCCTCAAACAACCGACTCTGACTGACGTAAAAGTGGAATCTTCGTTGACATTAACAGGGGGAGTAGTACCACCTGGTACTGACATTGTTAATAATGCACCTTTAATGGGAACCGAAGATCTGGATAAAACAGTCACCGTTCCAAATAGTCCCAGTGTTATGAGGGATGAAAAATGGACTACGGTACGTAGGAAACGAAACGAAAAGAAAAAAGCTGTAAGAAGTACACAGGTAGTTAGTAACTCACTGGTGGACCCAAATTGTGAGCCACAAATTGCACTACCAAAATCTGAAGGTAAGAGTGAAACCCATCCTGGCGTGACTGAGAAGGAAAATCTAATAACATCGAATATTATTGTGAGCAAATTGCGGGAGTCAAACGACCCTGATCCAAAAATTAGACACGCGCATGACTTAGAAAAGCTAGGAGAATACATTCGTAGTATTTTACCAGATAACTCCAAAGGAGTTCGGGTCAAAAAATTGGTAAGAATAGGCAAGAGGACCGAGGACAATGTTGAACCCCGTCCATGCAGACTCCTTAAGGTAATCCTAGGATCGGAGAAGCAACGGGATCTCTTGTTAAGTAGCGCTCGTTGTCACGACAATTCTGACATCCGAGTTAGACCTGACATGTCTCTCGAAGATAGAATAAAAAGGAAGAAAGCACTAGCTGAACTTGAAACCCGTCGGCAAAACGGCGAGGAAAATCTCCGACTAGTGGGTTTTCGGATAGTCAGGTCTTGGAAGCGAATGCTACCAAGGCCTGTGTGGATAGGCTGTTCTACTTAGGAGTTTTATATGCCAACGCTCGTAGTTTACGAAATAAGTTCTATGAACTAGAAACAATAGTAGACAGGTTAAAGCCACTCATAGTAGCAGTGACAGAAACTTGGTTAGTCCATGACTTAGACATTACTCCAGAATTATCCGGATACCGTTGCATCAGGAGTGATAGACATAGATGTAGAAAAGGAGGCGGCGTCCTGTTATACATAGCCAATGGCATAAATATCCGCTCCTCTACTAGCGAATCCCATGATAGCGGCACTTGTGAAGTCATTAGCTGTAAGTTGGCAATAGGATGTAGTACATTTATGCTAGGTGTCATCTATCGGAGCCCAATCTGCTTAGCTGATGACTTTGTTTTAGAGCACATTCATCTTTGGAGTGATAATACCAGGTGCTTGATAATAGGAGACTTTAACGCACCTGATATTAGTTGGACTGATATGACCACAGAAGGATCTATAAACTCCTTTGATAGTAGGTTACTGATAACAATAATGGAGCATGCACTAGTGCAGCATGTATCCCAACCCACACGTTTTGGTGTTAACCAGGGTTCTTCTCTGCTGGATTTGGTAATCACTCATGAGACTGAGGATATTGTCGACTTAAATATTCTTCCACCGTTAGTAAACAGCGATCACGCTGTTTTGTCATTCGCGTTTAGAACTAGGGACATGTTATACGATCAGGTTACACCGCGCCCAAATGTATGGAAAGCTAACATATCAGCCATTCAGGAATGCGCTGCTAAGACAGATTGGTTAGTTGATACTAGCATATCAGTTGAAGAAGCATGGTCTGTATTTAAAGGTAAATTTAGACTAGTTACGTCCCCGTTCATACCATACCTGGTACCGCGAAGACCGAATAATAGTCCACCATGGATAACTAAAACGGTCAGGAAACTCCTTAGAAAAAGGAAGAATCACTGGAATATGTTCATCTCTACTGGCTTAGAACAATACAGATCCAGTTATTGTAAGATTAGGAATGCCTGTAAAGCGTTAATAAGCAAGACTAGACATTCATACGAAAAACAATTGGTTAGGGATTCTAGATATAGTCCGAAACGGTTATTCTCGCATATAAAAAGGCGAACTAAGAGAAGCGATGGAATTCCATCACTTTTGATACGAGACAATCCGTTAATCTTAGCAGAGAATGATGCCGAAAAAGCTGAAGCTTTATCGGAATATTTTAGTAAAGTGTTTTCTATCGGTAATGAGGAACGACCAATGATTCATCGTGACCGTGACGGCTCGCTGATGGATCCTGTAGTCATTGAGAAAGATACTGTTTTAAGGCTACTTCAGCATCTCAAACCTGATAAGTCCAGTGGTCCCGATGATATTCATCCTAGGATTATGAAAGCCATATCAGAAGAAATTGCCGAACCATTAGCGATACTATTCGACATGTCTCTGAGACAGTCCAGACTTCCTAGAGACTGGAAAGACGCCATAATAAGTCCGGTGTATAAGGCTGGGAGTAGGGATTTAGTTAGTAACTATAGACCCGTTAGCTTAACTAGTGCAGTTGTGAAACTGATGGAGAAAATCATTCGGATAGCTGTTATAAACTATGTTGAAGGGCAAAATCTTCTCTCCAGGGCACAACATGGTTTTCGGAAAGGCCTATCTTGCTTGACAAATCTTCTCATTGCACGAGAAGAGTGGGCTGCGGCAAAGGATCGGAATGCTCCTGTGGATGCAATTTTCATAGATCTAAGTAAAGCCTTTGATAAGGTTTCACACTCTGGTCTTAAATTCAAACTGAAACGTTTTGGAATCCATAACACAGTCGTCGATTGGATAAGTAACTTTCTCCATGACAGGAGACAAAGGGTAAGGGTTAATGGGTCTCTCTCCTCGTGGGTACCTGTAAAAAGTGGGGTTCCCCAAGGCACAATCTTAGGTCCTCTTCTCTTTTTACTTTATGTAAATGAATTGCCAACTGTAGCAAAATCATCCGTTCTACTCTTCGCTGATGACATAATGATTTGGAGACCCATACATAGTATGTCGGATAGAGTAGTATTACAGGACGATCTTAGCTCATTGGTGGCATGGTTAGACAGGTGGTCACTAGAAGTAAATCCTAATAAGAGTGTAGTGATGCAGTTAAATAACTCTGATGAATCGTATGACTATACACTACGTGGATTCGTGCTACCCAAAGCAAGAAACTATAAAGACTTAGGAGTTATATTGAGCAATGATCTCAAAACGACTAGTCACTGTAAGGCTGCTGCTGCAAAAGGCTATAGGGTATTATGGTCAATTCGTAGGTCTTTTCAGTATTTAGATGATGAAATGTTTGGACTACTATACCCGATTTATGTGCGAGCACATTTAGAATACGGGATTCAAGCAGCGAGTCCTTGTTTCAAATATGAAGCAGATATGCTAGAAAGAGTCCAACGACGAGCTACTAAGATGGTACAAGGTCTAGCTGGCCTATCTTATGAAGACAGACTGAGAAACCTTAACTTATTTCCGTTATCTTACCGTAGAGTACGGGGTGATCTAATATTGGCTTATCGTATACTGAACGATGACCTTGGTATTAACATGTCTTATCTTTTGCTTCCGTCTAGAACCGATCATTTGAGAGGACATTCGAAGAAAGTTCAAAAACCGAGATCAAACCGTTTACGTCTGGAGTTCCGTTTCTCGCACCGAGTAGTGAATTACTGGAATTCCCTACCTGAACACGTAATATCAGCACCGTCTGTTAATATATTCAAAACGAGATTGGACCTCCACAGTATTACAAACTGCAAGGATTAATATAGGTCGACAGACCTATCCTTATTACTGAAGACTGAAGACTGAAAGGATCAAAATTTTTATTGTACTTGCATTTTCATTAATATATTGCACTAGATGACTCTTTTTAGCAAGGAAAGACGATAAGGCATAGAAGAACACAATAAGCTATCGGAGGAGTGTTTGCCAACGACAAACTCGTAAGTTTTAAACGCAGAGTGTGCATTAATCAACCGGTTGCGCTACATCATGACGAGAACTTATGACCAAGAGCTGGCGTTTCTGGAAAAGATCACCCCAACTTGTTGGAAAATCAAGAAAGGTTTTGTCCCAAACATGAATGCAAGTCTTCTACTTCACACGGCTGAGTTTTCTTGTGCATAGGTTGAAGGTGTCTTCTACGTGAATAACTTTCTTGAAAAACTTATGTTTGACGAATTACGAAATTTTACACGCAGTGGAGATTATGGTGGGTTTCTACCAGGAATGAAGCAAATAGGGAACGTCGCAGCGTTACCTGGAATTGTTCATGTAAGTCATGTGGCTTCGCATTATTTAGTATACGCTCTCAATGATATTGAACTTAGTAATAATATATAAAAGCCTCTCATATTTGTTTTCTGTTTTTCTTCATTGTGAGTTTCCCCCCAGCTCTTCCACCACTTCCCACAAAATCTCGAGCACACTTAAGACGCATTTATTTTTACCTAAATGGTTATATTTACCAACGTTGTCAGGGCGTATTTAATCACTTAGCGAGGTTTTTTTCGAATTTAAAATGGCTCATAGGTATCGATCATAGTTTTTGGGTCAGAACTTCTCTTTTAGTTTAAACTTAAATTTAGCCTAGCATCGGATGCACAATGAACCTCCAATTTCGGTGGTCAGTTTATTTGGCAAATTACCAGTCATATTTCTTTGCTTAATTCAACGTGTGTTTATCTTTACCAATATTCAGTTATTTCTAGTATTTGTAGGTAAATGCGAAGTACAAGATACCACTCTGGACTCGTAACCTTATATAATTTTATAGCGAGCTTTTAATTAGGTTTTATTGCACAAGGATAAGTTTTTACCCATATGTTCGTCACAGCATCTAAGTTGTGAGTGAACACCCCTAGTTAAGGCAAATTTGCTCTTATGCGTGCGTTTGGGAACACAATATGGCTTGAGGATATAGTAATTATGTCCACCTGGTTCTCTTGTTTCTTCTCCCTTACTCCAGTAAGGGATAAGTCAACTGCTTTGTTTTTCGAATACTATTAATCAAGTTACATTTTCTGCCGTATATGGGTTATTAGTAGGCAAAGTATCCGCCTAAGACGTATCTGGAAAGACTTTCCAATTCTGTCCACCAACCATTACTTCATTGTCAGTAGCGATTCCTAGCGGTTAGACTTTCAGAATTATGGAAGTATATCGTCATATCACTTCAACCCCAGCCTTCCTTACCTTTTCGAATCCGTTGACAATATAATAACATGCTCTGATGATTCTTGTAATTCAGGACATTTTTAGGCAACTGGTAGGTAGTTGTAGTTCGGTTGGATTGTTCTTCATCTTTCTGTCTAGCGATCTAGCTAATCATCCTAATAGATTGTTAATGATGAATCTTCTCAAATGGTTTTAATGCTCATGTTTCTCTGGAAATCTCTAACAAATATCACTTTCTTTCATTTTAATGACAGTAGCTGTAGTGTCAACCAACTGTAGCAATGTTCACTAAACCAATCACGAATCATTTTTGGGGTATTCATCTTCATTAATCTCTTTTTTGCGTGCTAAAAAGCATCGTATTACTTAAGCAATTTAGGAATAAATAATTTAACTAAATATAACCGAAAAGTAACTTCCAATTAGTCAATCTTAAAGGTAAGGTTACTAATATGCTTCGGTGATTTACAACACAACAACGAAAAGAAGTATGAAAAATTCGACTTTTACCTGTTCTATTGTTTTCTCTTAGCGTTCAGTCGGCTTACCTGATGTACATTCTGGATATGGTTTTGCCATCGGTAAGTTACAAACTATTAGATTATGTGTACTAGTTTTGATATTAACTTCCATAAAGAACGGGATATTTTACTAAAGAACTTGATGTTCGACCCCTTTTGGTGGGTAACTATGGTATATCTCTTTAATAATAAATTCAAGGACTTACATTTCTACATGTATCTTGAAGGTCTTACACATCTCAATAATCTATTTCAAACAAAAGTGCCTATTTCTGCTGTTTTATTTTTGATCCCACTGTTTCTTTTTTAATTGCTATTCGATTTCATCGATCATCCAGCGTCTTTATACGAGTAATCATCTTGTGCAACTACCAAGTTTGTAAAGCTCCTGAGTGCTTAATAAATTTTCGTAATCCTACTTGACTGATGAGTCGAGAAATTAAATACTTAGTTGTTGCTAATTGTATAAGGATCTTTCTAAATACTCTTCACTCTGATATTTTGTATACCAACATAATATGTTAGCCAAATAATTCAGCACGGTGAATTGTGATTTTTTATCATTAAAGCCATGATTCGACTTAGCGTTATAGAAATAATCAAGCAATGAATGGTTTCTAATCTTTTGAGATTCATCACTACCTTGCATACAAATGACGCAGTTGCTATAGTCACATGATAGCCGATACAAATTTATTTTTCAGTTACTGGAAATCTGTTTCACTAGTTGGTGGGATTAGGATTCAATTAATATTACCTTTTATATAAAACCTGTTCAAAATTTGTTAGCAGTTGTTAATTTTCCTCTGGGCAAACAAAAACCTATAAAATAGTCTATTCGTTTAATTGTAACTGCTAAACGGCTAACAAATTTATGTTCTATACTCTAACATGTCAGTAAATATACTTAGACAAACCCCACATTTCCACCATAAATGCAGTAAACTTTGCCATAAATTTTCATGGATTATACAAAAAAACCCAATGCCTAGTCAGTGATCACAGCTTCTGTTAAAACATTACACAAACTACCTGTCGTTTCGGGATATACAGTTAAGTGTAAGTAATCACAATATTCGACTGCCAGCATCCAAACTACAATAGGAGTATACGTTAATTTCGAACGGTATTCTTCTAATTAGGTACAAACTATTGTTCCACAGGATCAACAAAATCATTTATTTGATCTGGTCTAGCAAAATGTTTACAGATTTACTAGTGATACGTCCTTTTTTAGAGTTACCCTAAGTACCTATTCTTTTGCAATTATGATAACGTTGGGGAATGTATTATTGATTAGTATTATTAGTCTCACTTCGATAATAATCATGGATGCATAAACGCAGTGAGAACGTAAACAGTGGTAGTAACAAAATGTCATGACATGGCTTAGTGCGAGAAGTCTGTTCCCCCTCTCATATGGCCACGCGTGTACAGCCACTGTCAGGGAGGTCCTACTCACTACCTCGTGGCGGTGGTGTTCCTACGAAATTAAGAGGTCGAAAAGTAAATGCCCAGTACTTTAACCGGGTTGGTGGGCACGGTGCATCCAAATAAAGTAGCTAGAAAACCTTGATTTCAAACCGATGGTGCACATAGGCTACAGGATCCTGAGGGGGCAAATAGCGCATGAACCTAATGTTGGAACCGTATATACTAACGTTGCTCCACTGCAATGTGAATTACATCTCTAGGTCAACGGTTCGAGGAGTAGCTCCCTAAGAAAACAACCCGTTTCATTTTGGACACCCGGACAGTATCTCGGCCTACACACAAACTAAATATTGACTAAAATTTGAAGATTTATTCACGCTTTAACTACCTGTTAATACTCGTTTTTATTTTTACATTAGGTCACTTATCTATCCCTTTATTCCCATTCTGTGTAATCCTTTATTTTCCAAGTTCTACAACAGTTCATCTTTGGTGGGAACCCTCTCCAATCTAAACGATCTTAAGTCACTGACTAATCGAGATTTAAACGTACCACCAAATACGAATTTTGAGCTAGCCTTTGTAAAACCACGTGTTCCATTCAAACTGATCTACTTCGACGCTCGTATACTAATTCAGATCACTTAACAGATAGGTCCCCAAATGCCCTGGCATGGCCAAGAGTGGGGTGGCCCCCCTCCCCTCTCGAAATACTCTCACACGGCTACGCGTATACAGCCTCTGCCAGGGAAGTCCTACTCACTGTCTTCTCGTGGCGGGGGTGTTGTTTACAAAGATGAGAGGACGAAAAGCGAATGTCCGGTCATTGCTGTCTACGAAGGATTTCTGACGTTCGGTCGCAACACCATATTGCAGAGGTTCAACATCATGTGTTCGGGTACAGCTACGATAATTCAATTGATTTCACGACCTTGAAACGCTGACTCAGGTGGTTGGCACATGTCTTACGAATGTCGTCTCAGCAGATTCCACATCGCGCATTATTTGCCGATTCTAAAACCGGTTGGAATAAACGTAAAGGTGATCAGTGCATGACATTATTACTACTGTAGTGAAGAAGAACACGGGTGGGGACAATCGACTGTATTTAGCACAAAAATTACAGACTATCTCAATAAAATGTGAATACCATAAAGTCAATCGTCAATTTGCAAAATATCATTCCATCATATCAAACTGTACTGTTCCCGTTGCAAACACTAATCCATTGTCTCCCATTCCATTGTACATGCGTTTTCTTACAATTCCATTGTGCTCTTGCTCTTCCTTTCTTGATCTTCGCTATCTTCTGCTGCCGGACATTACGTCCTTTTAACGCACGTTATATACTACTTATATCAATATAAGTAGCTCACACCACACTACTACTATTATCATTACTGTCATTGTTATTATTTCACTGTCATACACTAATCTTTATTGATTGTTCTTTTTTCTTATAATCAATTTCCCTTTTCTATCTCTTCACAACCTAATTTTTGTGTGACGCATTTATATTTTCGTGCTCTTTTATACCAATGTTCGTGTTCAAGTAAATAAAGTAATAGAATTTCATTCAACCAGCTAGAAATACAGACAACTAAGCAGATAGCGACGTGAATTACACAGTCAGTACGACCCATAGAATTAGTAGAATCGATCACATTTATATAAAATGTTACTTATATTTAAGAGTTCAGTATTATTTTAATATCCACTAAAGTAATCAACAAAACCAGAAAGGTTCAATTGTCGCATGGTCATCTAGTTCAATTACAGTTCAGTCGAATTGACTGGCTTACCTTGTGAATTGAGCACAAGTCTGTGTTCCCTTCGGATTTACTTATGAACTCACTAATAAGCAGAAAAAATGGGGTCTATTTGACTGTTCAAATGCTCACTTCCCTAACCTCATAAGAAGCAATTATTATGACTTTTTATCACTTTCATTATGTATCCCATAAATTTTTTTTCTGAGGAAGTGCTCTTATTCTAGCACTCTTTTAAGGACTCAGTTTCTGATATTGAGCTAAAACAACTAACAAACCTAGCTGAATATTTGGCTCAGTTGTTTGAATTATTGATCATAAACTTTCTCCCACTTCGATCACTACTTGTGTTAAACCGTTGGGAATCAAACATACATAATTTAAGGGGTAACACAACCATGTATGTTCGTACTAAATCGTATGTGTATTCATGGTTGTTGACATCGTATGATTGTTTTTCAGGTAGAATGTAAATATATCTTCGCACTCGAAAGTTTATATCTTAAAACAATGCTCTGTAAATGTTTCTTTTCGAGACAACGTTGATCTGTACAATAAAAGGTGATTTGTATCATGTTAACTTGTCAAACCGACTCCAATGTTCAATGAGGTATTGGTATTTGGGAGCTCAATTGACTATTCAACGAGTCACTAATATCAGTTTTCGTAACTCATTTTGTGTATTAGCTTTAACTATAAATGGTCCTTGAATGGTAAAATACCATTTTGTCTTTTTGTACTATAATCCGTTTCAATTAAACATTAATGTTGCATTTAGATATATTTATGTGGAATCGATTTAAAGTCTTCCAATTTTTAAAGGTAATATGGCTGCATTTGACCTGACCAATCCAAAATCAGTAGTCTCACCTGGTGGTGTTGGGTTCGATATCAATTGCGGAGTCCGACTTATACGCACAAATCTGAATTTAAAAGATGTTCTTCCAGTGAAAGAAAAGCTAACTCAGACTTTGTTTGATCATATTCCTGTTGGTGTTGGTTCCAAAGGTATCATACCGATGGATGCTCAAGCTCTGGAAGAAGCTTTAGAAATGGGTATGGACTGGTCTCTGAGACAAGGTAAATTACATTTTATTCTAACTTGAAAGTCTTTGGTAGTTTCTAGTTTTTGAATCAATAACTATTTAATACAGATAATTCGACAAGTGATATTTTAGGAGTTGCTTTGGTGAGGGTCTGTAGTTTTTATAAATGAGAGACGATTTCGAATGTTCAACTGCTCTTTAATTTAAAAAGATCAAACTATTTTATCTTTGTTAACTGATCATCATTTTCCTTAATTCCTTTCACATGAGATATATTAGTATATGTTTATATCTGTGACTTTTATGCTAGGAGTATGACATAAAGTGGTCATGCCAGTTCACCTGTAAATTGTGGTATCTAATTAAACCATACATACAAATATATGGGATAACATCTCATCAGAATGGTTTATTTAATCAAAGTGGCCTATAGGAATTAAAGTTGTGAATTGGTAGAAAGCTGTTTTGTTAAAAATAAGGTATGCCTTCTAAATACATCTAGTATTTCGGTTCCAACGATTGCACATTTTTCTTTTGATTTCCTTCTCTGTTGGTATGAATAACTGTTGACCATAAATATTGAATAACAGACGGGATCACCCTATTCTTATCTTGTTTTTGGTATCCGTCTTCACACTAAGTAACTACAAAAATCTCTAATACTTATAAGACTTAATACAGGAACGGTGGTTTGTCACAACTGCTTTAGTTTATGAGGCCTTACAACCTTACCATTCAATTTGCCATCTTTCATCTCGTGCTGAATTGTAATAATTTCTGTTTGATTTTTCAGTACTATGGTCTTTGTATCTAAAATTCTGTTACGTTTGCATTATAAACATTAGTGTTCTTTATTTAATAAGTATGAATATCTTGTTTATGATTAGAAATCACTCTAGCAAATCTCTTTTTATGAACTACTTTTTTGTCTTAATCATTATTTTATTATGTGACAGGTTACCCGTCCGTGATTTCACAATTTTTGTTCATTTTATAAGTTAACAAAGTGTAGAAAATAATTTTCCAAATAGTGATTTCACAACTTCAAGTTAAGACATTTCTTAATTCACTTTATTTACCTGTAAAGTAAACAAACAGTGTTGAATGTGTTACGAGACCACGACCCGATAACTTCTCATGTTACTATTCATTCTTCAAAAATTTTATACATTAGGGTATGTCTGGGCGGAAGATAAGGAGCATTGTGAAGAGTATGGTCGTATGCTTCAGGCTGATCCGTCTAAAGTTTCTTCACGAGCAAAAAAACGTGGACTTCCGCAACTTGGGACTCTTGGAGCTGGTAATCATTACGCTGAGATACAAGTTGTGGAAGAAATTTTTGACAAACATGCAGCAACTAAAATGGGCATCAATCATTTAAATCAGATAGTACTAATGATTCATTGTGGGAGTCGAGGAATGGGTCATCAAGTAGGTTCATACATCCTATAAATATATTGTTATATTTTTGAATAGTGAATTAATAGTAATCAGTGAAAATGTATCCTCGATCACACTGTGTTGTTAATGTTTTCTGATAAATTTGCTACCTGACAACTAAAATGACAATTCTGGTTACTATTTCCTTACTCCCACTTTTGTAAATCTATAAGTAGAAGTTTGCTAGCCATTCAAAACGAAACTTTATTACAAGACGCATTGTTTTACGTAGACAATATTCCTTGTATTTCTATGGCGACCAATAATAATCTTTACGAAGGTTGTTTATTGAAATTGTTAGGATATGCAGAAAAATATACCAATAATTATCGTGTTAAGTCTATGGTGGCTTTGGACCTTAAATGTACACTCCCTATTGGTCGATATTTGTTTCACTTGTTAAACATTGTGTAAATGTTGTTTTCTATTTTATGGTACGATGTGGTTTGTTTGTTTGGTATATAAATAGAGTATGTCTGAAATGTAACGATTCATAACTCAGAGGCTGTGACTTGTGTTCTTCACTCAACTGGCTAGGACAGACAGCGAAGCAGGGCCAATCAGGGCACTAGGTCGTTCACTACGTGTTTTCCGTGTCACTGTAATCGATCGATATATAAACGCTGCTTATCAAAACCTGCAGTCACACACGGTACAACAGAAATCATGAATCGATCAATTTTAGACCACCACTGAAAACCTGGGAGCACTGGAAGGCTGTTTCGCCCTAGTATGGGACTCCTCAGCAGTGCGGATCCACGGTCCGCACTCGGGACCTGAACCTAGGACCGTCGGTCCCACGCGTGAACGCTTAACCTCTAGACCACTGAGCCGGCATCCAACAGTGTTGGTGTTTAACTTCAACCGATCCACGGAATTGCGCGACCACCCTCCATTGTCTGAGGTAGATGAAGGTTTTTGCACTAACAGAAAAAAACTAAGGGAATTATGTGGAGACGGCATAATGATTGTTTTCTGTATATATGTTGCAAAAATGTTTGATAGTAAATTGACGACCCAGTGTCTTCTATAGTTTACGTCAAAAGCTTGTTTATTGCGATCGGATAAACGATTTACACAAATTAATTAGACTATTTTTAGTTGTGGATGATAGAGTTCCATACTTCCTTTCAGATATTGAAGTAGTACCTAAGTACTCATGTGCTAGACGTGAAATTAAAGATATTTCATGTTCCATATATCAAGACGGTAACTTTGAAAGTAAGCCGTTTTTCTTCAGAGCAACTAAAAGTCTAGGTTAAGTTTATACGAATAAAAAAACAGTCATCAAGTTGTTGTTCTTTATTTTAAATTTCAGTTAAAGTACATATATGCCTTTTACTTATTTCAGCTTTTAGTAAAGACTAGCTGAATATTTAATTGAGCTAAAATAATCATATTCTTAATAATCTAGTTTTAAAGTCAGCGTCTGGAAGTTTCCGGGTTTTCACTTGGAATGACTTGTAAACAGTTGCCTTCATCTTCAACCACCCACTGCAATGAAAAAATGTGGCCGTATAATATGTGTAGACAGTTTGAAATTTCATTGTCAATGTTATTTAAACAGCTACTGAAAAATAGAATATCTAACAACATCTACCTCCAGTTTCTGAGACGCTTTTTTCAATAGGTACCTTTAACTATTTAACTTATGATTCATAGTTTCATGGAAAGGCAATTCCAGTCGTTGGTGTGCATCCTGTGTTGTCCATTTTCACTCCGAATAGAAAAATCCAGTATTCAGTTTGTGAGATATATAGGTTTGTGAAAAATGGTATTAATTATGTGATTTTTACCATAATTTGTATATCATGATTTAGTGATATGTTTTATGTCCTTACTTTTACTGAGATTGTTACCTAGATTACCTTGTGTATTCTTTTAACTTAGGTTGCAACAGATGCTTTGGTCTCCATGGAAAAAGCAATGAAACGTGATAAAATCGAAGTAAATGACCGGCAGTTGGCCTGTGCACACATTAATTCTGAAGAAGGTCAAGATTATTTGAAAGCAATGGCAGCGGCTGCCAACTATGCCTGGGTTAATCGATCTTCTATGACATTTCTTGCAAGACAGGTAATTTTAGAATATTTACGTTTTTCTGAGCATTAAGACTATGATTACCTTATGTTAATTATTGTTGTCGAGTATTTGTATAGTTCTTGTGGGTTTTCACAACGTTAACATTTTGGATACGTGTTAACAATGCAAGATAGAAACAAAGGAATAACAAGTCATCAGTATCAGACAAATAACAAACAGTAAATTATTTTCTAAGTTTATAAGCCATGGAGAGTTTGTTAACTGTTTTATGAATGGTTCTGTGGTGAGCATAATGTATTTCCTTGTTGGGTTTGGCGAAAATTTACGAAAACTGACACTATCTCATTGCTTAATATTACTCTTACTTCAAGTACTATTTAGTATATATATAATACTGTGTATGTAAACTTCCTAAATGTTAGTAAATAGATGGTCGTCTTACAGCATTTCAAAACATCAACTTATGTAGGTTGGATGTGTTTTATTCATGTCAACTCAGTGATTATATAACAACAATTGCTTGATCCTTTTACAACTGGCTAAAAGTACTAGGAGGGAGCTCAGTTTATGATCGTGCACCGTGGGATGGAAGGCAGCTGTTTTCCCACTTTAATTTTCTCAAAAGTCTCACAGAGATCAAGTTACCACTGGATGGTTCCAGACACTACAAGATTTAAATTCAGACTAAAGCCAATCGTAATTGCTGTACTTTTTTTAAAAAAATGTAATAGCTATTTATTTGACATATTTGATTTGACTGCTTTCTTTCTAAATACTCTTCTACTCTTCTCTTTATGATTATGGTAAGTTTGCGTTAATATATAGATTTAAATAACTGCCCTTGTCTTTGTATATAAGGATTTTATATTGTAAAAGAAATGTGCGTGGACCTCACATTATGAAAACGCAGTTAATCGAGTTAACCTAATGATTTATTGCCAAAACTAAATTCTTTTTGGAGATTACTGTAGTAGAACAAAAAGCTGTCATTTCTCACTTAAGCAAGTCCTTCTGTGGTGCATGCTACTTATATTGATATAAGTAGTATATAACGCGAGTTAAAGAATGTAATGTCTGGCAGCAGAAGATGGGGGAAGATCAAGAAAGGAAGAGCGAGAACTCAGTGAAATTTGTAAGAAACCGCATGAACAATGAAATGTGAGACAATGGATTGATGTTTGCAACGGCAACAGTCCGGTTTGAATTGATGGAATGATATTTTGCAAATTAACGATTTACTATATGGTTTTTCTATTTTACCAAGTAACTCTGTAACAATTCATTTGTCCTCACATGTGTTCTCCTTCACTACACTTCCATCATTAGTGAATTTTTATCAAAGTTCTAAAATGATCATTTGATTAGTTATGCTTTATCAGCACTGAATGATGCTTGTATGATCTTGGTGTTAATATATAAGCAACAAAATCTGATTATTTACCCTAAAATTTCGTACATAGTTCATTCAAAAATCCATTCGATTTAAGGAGGTCTCTTTACAAATCGCAATCCATCTGTGCATACAAGTGGAACCAGTTGAACAACCTTTAAAACCCAACATACATATTCTAATACATAGTGTATAAAGCACAAAGTATCTAGTATTTTGCTAGGCTTTCAAGCACACTTTTGTGCGTTAGTTGATTATTCTATCCGACCTCTCAAATCGAGGTAGATGAAGTTCCATTCAAGTCAACGACATAATAATATAAAGTCGAGTACAGCAACCATTCACTCCAATTTATAATCGTTTTATCCTTACATTTTATGTTTTTGAATGCATAATAAAAAGCTTTATAATTAGGTAGCATTTCATTCGGTTATCGGTGTAGATTATCTCTACAAGATTTACCTGTTCTCACCATACTAGTGGTACAGTATCATATCGCATATTCACTTTATTCTGATATATTATTAAAATGGCTTTATCTCATCTTTGAATTCGTCATTTTCGTCAGTCTCACCTACTACTATAACATGTATTTATTTTTATTATAGGCTTTTGCGAAAATTTTCCATTCTACACCGGACGATTTAGATATGCAGATTATATACGATGTATCACATAATATCGCTAAGGTGGAAGAACATTGGGTAGATGGCAAAATAAAAACTTTACTAGTTCATCGCAAGGGATCTACTCGAGCATTTCCACCTCATCATCCCTTAATTCCTGTTGATTATCAGGTTAGCATTTGTTTATGTTGAAATCACGTGATTTAACGGCTGATAACTATAATTGTAGTTTTATTTCACGAATAGCAGTTAAGAACTGGAAGTTACTAGGCATCTGTTTTGCCTATGGGACTGTTCAGCTCTACGAATACGCGGTTTTGTTGAGGACCTTTGAGCCTTGCAATGATAGCTTAGTGCCAGGGCCACTGCTTTGTTATCCATTCGTTCGCATTTTAACTTTAGTTATATTGCGATATTTGTCAACTTTACTCACAACCGTACGTCTTGCCTCACTACTGCCCACACTGTTATTTGACAAGCGATACTTTTCAAACACCTATGATCAAAAGATTGCAGCTTTCTGTTTTAATAGACTGTTTTTAACAGCCATAGAGCAATATTGAGTGAACTACTTTACGCTATACTCTTCACTTATTTTAGAGATGGTTATGTCGGCTACTAACTCAGTTGATACAAGTTTGGAAAATCAATCCAACTTTCATAATTCTTGCCAAAGAATACATCAATGGTAACGTCTGACTGTGCCGTTAGATTAGATAAAAGTATATCACTGAAAAAGTATTGTGACTACTGAGGGAGAATCATGTGATGCGATGATTTTGTACACCGGCGATTAACTACACTTGATCGACATTAATAAACCCTAGAGTATTGAACAATTCAGCACTCATATTATTGAATTTCTGAAAAATTCCCATCATATTATTTAATTATTCAACAAATCAAAATTTCACGATTATTAAACTACCTTCTAGTGGTTTAGGTACACAAATATCCAGCTTTGACTTTGAAAATTTGGATCTAGTCCCGTTTATTTTAGAGCGATTAGTTACATAGTGTCTTTAAATCTTACACTTTTATTGTTTGTTGTACTCTAACGCATATCGATACGTAGTAGTTAATACGTTACGTTTATTTCTATATTTTCGAGTTTATCGATTAGTTCATTACATATGAGTGCCTTTTTATTTTGCCTTAAATTGAATCCATACTTAGAATTCTTAACCTCTGTCTTTGTTTCCCACAATTCGCAAGTTGGATGTTTGATTGATTCAGTGTCTTTTTTTCACAGCTTACCGGACAGCCTGTACTTATTGGTGGTACTATGGGTACTTGTAGTTATGTTTTAACTGGTACTGAAAAAGCAATGACTGAAACTTTTGGTTCAACATGTCATGGTGCTGTAAGTAGTAATAATAATAATACTTAACGTTGTGATAATTTTTGCTTACAAGTCAAAACGACTCGTAAAGTATTTACTTTATGCATAAAATCAATCAAAAAATATCAGATTTTTTAAATGAAATATATGTTTTTCACTGATTCTTAGTGGTTTATATCTTTAGTACGATTTTAAATAAACTTTAAAGACTCCGACTTGATCAGTGCATGACAAAATCTCTGCATTTTTACAGAAATTAGGTATTGAATCAAAGCTGTACACCGAAGTCACCTGTGTGCAGTCGAAAATGACATATCTAAAAGCTGTATTTTCGATTGACAAAATAACAGAGTGCATACTTTAAAAATGTTCATAAATAAAATAAAATCTATGTTCAGTACTGTTCAAGTTAGTGTTAGTGCAATATACCGATTGTTTATAAAGGTGGGGAATTAATGATTAAAACATCCTACTTCCTGACACTGAATTGAGGACCTAAACACTACTTCAGTACGGAACATCGCGTTGTATCACTAACCTTCACACCCAAAGGTGTTAGTTTAAAGCGGAGTAAATGAGATTATATATATTGCTAAGTTATCATTAGATTTTCGTATACCAAAGAAATAAGATTAAAATCACAGTAAGATTTATACTTTATCTAGTTCTGATTTCGTTTAGTAATATTAAGTCAAATATGAACACCTTTACTCATAGACCTATTTAATTATTTCGGTTGATAAGATAACCTAATCAAATTACATATTTGCCTTCAAATTAATTTACTATACGTTTATCGCTATCGATTAGGTTTTTATATAAGACAAGATTTGTAGAATAAAATTATTTCATTTCATTTTAAGAACTGTTATTCGTTGTCCATAACACAATCATAACAAATGAAATCAATTTTTAAACAAATATATATGGTCAGTACACATGCTTCCAGTCTAAAAATTCGACATTTCAGTTAGTCTGTTTTCTCCACACAAATATATACGATATCCCAAGTTGCCATACCACATTATCACGTTGAGATAAAAACAATAATGCGGCTAGGAAAGGAGATCAAAATAATATAGTAGAAATGACGTAGAGAAAAGCTAAGCACTGAGAATATGTTCCACAAAGATAGAGTGTAAAGGTTTATATAAAGGATGGAAGATCGGAAGATAAAGTGTAAATTCTTAATGGTCCATTAATCATTCAGTCATCCCTTAGCAACATAGGATCTGTCACAGTTCAGTTCGCCACACTTCAAGTCAGTAAAAGAATAGGGAATTAACAGATAAAATAAAAAAAGTATGATAGTGATAATGGTGGTGGAAAATTAAACAAAGGATTATTGTTAGAAAGAACAAATCAAGTTGCCAAATGAAAGGTATGTAGTCATTCTGAGTTGCAAAATCTAAAGCAAAATAATTAATGCATCATTGGTAAATATAACAAATTCTGAAGTATGTTACGTTAAATATTTAATCAGAATATGACAGTATATGGTTAACATCAACCAATGGATGTGTATCTCATCAGTATTTATAAGAACTTTTTGTCAGCCCGATTAAACCCACACAACATGAATGTTAAGCAGCGGGAGTCTGACAATTTCACTGTCGAGCCTAATCTCATTATACCAATTCAAACTGTACTTTGACCTACAGATAAATTTTTAAAATAATAGTCTGTTATACTGATTGTCATTTATGTTTACATCAATAGTTCCAAACTATTTTAGTTGTTCTGATTCGAACAGTTAACCATAATTTACAATTAAAATGTGCAAATCGTTTGAAACGGTTACTTAAGTGAAAATAAATAATTAAAATATAACTTTATAAAAGTAGATTTATCAATTATACCCCATAGTGTTAATGGAAACAACTACTCATAGCGTTAAATATCTCTGTCGTTTAATTACTTGATATTAATTTTCTACTCTTCTTGACAAAACCTAGAGGATAGTTTACCACTTATTTCGTAGCTCCTAAAAAGCAACATAATTTATGATTAAATTTCAGTTTTCTGTTTTTCGCCTTGTTTATTTATCCTTTCAGGGTCGTGCATTATCTCGAGCCAAATCAAGACGTAATCTCGACTATACTGATGTTTTAGCACAGTTACAGGAAAAAGGTATATCAATACGAGTTGCTTCACCTAAACTTGTAATGGAAGAAGCTCCAGAATCATATAAAAATGTAACAGATGTCGTAGATACCTGTGAGTTCTATTTTTTGTTACTTTAACTCAGCAACTTTATGTGTAGAATATGAATTATAGCTCTTAGCTGTTACACATCTTTTAAAATGTATTACGTGCTAATATAACAAAAACCGACGTGACTCAATATTTATAGTCAGACAGGGAAATTGAGTTTGAGACATGTGACGAAGAGAGTAAGTGACAAACACTTACGTACGCGTATGTAAGAACTACCATGGTTACATGCAAAAAAAGTGACAGGGTCAAATGTAAGTGTGGATAATGTCTCGAAAAAATGGACTGATAACCTGTCTAGAGTGATTCACGTACGCGTAAAATACTATTAAATACTGCACTTCTTTACGATAGTCATTTGTCGTAATCAATTAATATATTGAGTTTTTTTTACCCCAAACGCTGACAACCTATGACTCGTGGATTTCTACTCTTTAAATCAGTAGTATTGTACTAGTCATTTTTGACTTATATTATACAAGCCACTCACTAATCAGCTCCAAATTTTTCTAATTTGCAATAAGTCCCTCTTTTCATGTTGGTGTTAAGGGTAATACCCGTTTGCCTGGATTAATGTTAGTGATCAAGGATTCGAACATGCAATACATCAGTCAAAGGTTCAGTACCTTGATTGTTAAGTCAGTAGCGATCAAACCTTTTCCCACTTATCTCGACTTATACTGCTGTATAATATCATATTATTTTAGTTTTTACTTCATTAGTCTATAGGAACCACGTAGTCATTGACATTTTACTGCTGTTTCGTATTCATCAGGGCTACTAGTAACTTGTAAGTTTAATAAGTCTGTATGATGTCCAAAATCTATGATATTGATATAAGTTTATCATTTCACCTTTATTTCATGTTTCTATTTTCAAGTTATTTATTAGCCTTTAAAATGTTTACTGTTATTGAAAAAAACTGTTGGCTAGTTTGTTATTGTATTTTGTAGTGTTGATTTGTTTCTTATGTATATTTGATTTTCCTCTATACCTAGGTCAAGCAGCTGGAATAAGTAACAAGGTGCTCAAACTACGTCCAATTGGAGTAATCAAAGGTTAACCTGGTTTTTTTGCTCCGGTCGATACTTTCTTCCCCTCCCAACTAAATCCATGCATTCAATACCTCTGTACACAAAATAAAATTGTTCTGTATACTATTGTTACTTTTTTGAACAGGAAAAATGTGATATTTCTAATTGTGTGATATTCACTGCCAAATAAAATTATTATTACTATTATTAATGTATGTCTTATGCTTTCCGTTCGAGTATATTTAGTTAGTGATTGTTATTCTCATGTATTTTTGTAGTGCTGTTTTTGCTGTATACTTGAAAATTTTACATTAGATTTCAACGAAGTTTATTCAACTTATTTTCCTTTCTACTGTCATAATGACCTTTTTTGCGTAAATATTTATGCTATTCAGTGATTATGTTCAGATTAATTCACTGAATTGTAAACTATATTTAGTTGAAGAGACTGACAAAGATTCTATTTTGATGTGTTAGCTGGTTGGAAATGATTTAATTTAGTCGAAAATATTTTTCTTTTAATAGTTTTGTGAATTTTAGTCCGTTGTGAAGTAGAAATAAAAGGAAAAGAATCTTTTCCTATATTATGTATATATTTGTGCCAGCTGATATTAAGTTTTTCCCATTGTTATGTAAGACTATCTAGTAAATTTTTTCATCGTTGACAAAACAAAATGCATGTAATAGATTATATTAATCCGAATTATTTTGGTGGTGTTTTGTTCTCTGAGCTTAGAGAACAAAACACCACCAAAATCATCCACCTGAGCTACAAATCTTCTCCACCATCTCATAATCCGAATTATATTTTGTTTTTGGGTAAGCTCTCTTATGATATGTTAAAACATGACCATCGTTTACCGAGCAATAGTATTTACGGTGCTAATCAATCTGTTTTTTAAGAAGTAAAAACTATAGCATTATCCCTAGACAATCATATCACTGTGAGATACGTGTGGACGTCGTTGAAAAATTACAGATATTAATAATTGTTCAAGCCAAATCATTGTGTAGGTGAAATGGATGAAAAACAATTTTCGACTCAGCTTCATTTATAACTCCTGACTTCAGTTCTATGCTCAGATTCTTTATGTCCTTTAAATATGTTTTGTCCACCTAAGCTTTTCAAGATGGTAGTAATAAAAAAAACGCCATTCATTGAAATGGAACAAGGAGTGAGTGGTAGTTTTCTTCGCTTTCTGTTTGCTCTCGACTTATATTGTCTTTTGAAAATTTCTTTTATGAGTTGTAGTGAATTACGAGTTTGGATGTTGTTGGATCATCGTAGTATTGTATTTCCGGATTTTGCTTCGGTTTGGGCTACCGGACAGTATCCCATCCCTCATACAAATCGAACGATTTATGTGGCGCATATCTATTTAGTGCCTCATTGTACCAGTGTTTATGTGTTTAAATAAATAAAATAATAAATTTTGCAGCCATCGCAATAAATTCACATAATCTTTCGTATTTTTTCAACATTTTAGTACGTCAATTAAATGAAGATAAAGATAAGACACTGGACGTTATAGAAATGTGAGATTTGAGGATCTTTTACCTTCGGGTAATAATACTATTACTAGCTACGATTTTTTTTGTCTATTGGTTTGTCTAATTATAAGTAGTGACAGTGCATATTAAACAATAACCATTACTGACTAGATAAATATTTAAGTCATCACCACTATTAGGTAATGATTGCTTGATTACCTAAGATACTCATCTCGCTAAGTAGTAGGATTAAAGTTATCAGTAGAGTCACGTCGTGAAGGTTGTAGTATCAAATATCATTGATCTAGAGTGGTAACTTTCCAGTTAATTTCCCTATTGTTCAAGAACTTACGGCTGAAGTATATTTACAGTAATCTAAGCTTCTCTTGTCATCTAGTTCTACACAGCTCACAGGATTCTCAAGTACATATACCATAGCAGTTATGATCACTGGGAATAATCCCAACTATGATTTAGTCTATGTAAAGCTTTTTTGAAGTGCGTGTACTTTAAATGCACTCAATAACTGTTGGTAGTGTTGTCTAAGTCTACGTCGTACTGATGTATTATGGCACCTTGATCTAATCCACATTCGTTCTAGGCTCTGCTCCGATTATGAATGACTGCTCAGATCCTAAAATAAACTATCAGTTGTTACTCCTATATTTCATTGTCTATGTTAGTTATGTCCAGCATATCCAGGTTCACTTAGGTAAGCCATACGGATCTCTTGGATCACTACAGGTTTGCTAATAACTACAACTAACCTAAATCTTTTGATTAACGTATTGAGATTGAATTTAACTTTTCAACTTATCCTGTATTAAATTATACCTAAGGATTTACGTGTATAGAAGCCGTTTTCTGTCTAATAAATTAAATTGGCTACTTTAGTAATCTCAATAACTGCGCTAGCTCTCATGATATGACTGGAAATTTGATTTGGAATTTGTAGACTGTGGTCACCAGACATCCTAAAGCTCATCTAAACTTATCTTACCACTACATAAGTATTCTGTTTCCACGACATAATCACTCAAAAGCAAATAAATCAGAAAAATACTGTAGCCATTGATCATTGCTGTTTCCGAAGGATTATCCATGCTCTATCAGACCAATCATACATTTCATTGGTGAAATTTAGTTTGCAATTTCCAGCTAAAATGATTCTGTTTTATTAGTAAACTTGAAGAGTATCGAATTCAAAACTATTGTTCAGTCTTATATTGCGTTCTAATGTACACAGCCGAAACTTTCAATATTTTTCAAATAGAATTACACTAAATAGTGAAGTATTAATATAACATTTACTCTTAAATATTATCTACAATACTATACTTTACTAACTAGTGATAAATATCTGAGCAGAATCACTATATCAAATAAGTTTTACTACTGAATTGGAAACATTTCAATAGGCACATAATAATGAGTCCAGTTAAATTATGTCTTCATTTCTTATTGTCCTCTGGAAGACTCCTATTATTGATGGGAGAGAAAACAGTGTTGTATACTACTGACATGAATGACTCTGATATAGAATACCACCAGTCCATAGTCGATTAGGATTTCCCTGATTTTATCCAAAAAGTGTATCGTAAACTTCATCCAATGATTTTATGTATCCAGTTCTTCTAATAATTTCAGAGTCTATTTTGATGGATTGTATTTAAGGGTCCCTGAAAGTGTAGCATTCATTCGTAGAGGAGTGTTTGGTTCGTGTAATTTTGGCGTACCCTAAAGACTCTAGATTTCATCCAATCTTAGTCTTGTTCTTTTAGTTTTCGTGGTTTGATAAGCTAGGGTCCTATTACTCACTCTATCAATATCTCATTGTTCTTATCTAATCTATTATCGGCATTCTATTTTATTTCCATATGTCCTGGTTTTCTTACTGTTAGTAGGCCCTTACTGATATCCCTTTTTTAGGTTCTTTGTTTACCTGATCATTGATTGATAAAATGAAAGTGTTTAAAAGCAAATATAAACTACCATTATTTATTTATTGAAGAACATTTCGTAGTGCGGTGTCATATTTGTGTTTGTTTGAAATAATATGAATAAATTTCTTATTCATCGGTTTGTTTCCAAATGCTTCTTATTATTGGCAGTTAACTATTTTTGCCCTCTTTTTTTATCAAGTTTAGTTATGAATATTCCAGACGCTGATGAAGATCTATTGGCCATCGATACTGAAAAATTAGACAGTATACTTGAAAATCGAGATGAAGTTATTAATAATCAAACCATCCCAGAACTTATTCCAGATGAAACATATAATTTTTCAAAACAATTTTCACCGATAATTCGTCTCTATTCATCTACCATCTATGATCGTATTCATGCCGTATACTCAACAGAGTAAGTTTTTTATGGCTGTTTTTTGTTTTTTAAAGTAGGCAAGTCAAATCAACTACTTTAATTCATTTTAGCATATAATCTTTTTTAAACTGTCGGTTTTCATTTAATTCATCCTGTAATGACTATGAGAACTCTTTTGGGACTTAGTTGAACATCTTATTTGCTATACATTAACAAATGTAGGTTAAAGGTTTTACTGATACACTAAACTGAAATATATATTTTTACAAAGATACCTTGCGTTACCACTGCGGTATATGCTACTTAAGATGACAGTTATAAGTAATATGTAGCATTAATAGGAAGTGAAATGCATGCCGCCAGGAGATTGAGAAGACCCAGTTGAGGGGAATGGAATGGGAAACAGAAAGTAATTGTAATGAAAACAGAATTGAAAGAACCATGAAGCATGTAAAGAACAACTTATAGAAGATGTGCAAATAATATATCTAATATATGGTTTTCATATTTTACGAAAGCACTTTGTTCGCTACATTACTGTTCTTTTTACTGAAGACATCGCCTACAACCAATTAATAAGCACATTTTACATGTAATTGGCGTTCAAAATGCATAGTTCTACACGTTAGTTGATAATCTGTCGTGAGATATGGCGTCACAACGTACTGATTGTACGTATTATGAAGCACATCTCTCTCAACAATAATTTCCTTTAAATTGGGAGACAGAAAAGTCTTGTTTTTTATTTGTAACCTAAGAAGGTGGCTATTACTACTTTAAAAAACTTACTGACACCATTCAGTCAGTCAGTCAGCTACGACGTAGGACCAGGCACATATGTGCATCGGTCCAGGTTGCCATACCGCATCAGCACAACAAGATGAACACCGGATTCATAGCAGTGGTTAGGTCAAAGGTAGTAATATGTAAGAGAAAGATTGCATATAGAGATATAGTACAAGAAGAAAGAATTGGTTCGTAGAAAGAAAGATATGAAGCGATTTTAATCTCTTAGTTTAAGGGAAGACAGGGAGTGTATACACCGACGCCATTGTGATCGATTCTGAGCCATGTCACCAAGAGTCTCCAACCATTGGTTACGATAGTCACGCGGACCCCAACCAAGTAGTCTGCATCTACCAACATGGCTCAGACTAGAAGTTAGTGACTTCAAGCACTGATGCCACGTTTTGGTTTGGCCGCCCCTAACTTTCTTCCAACCATTTCCAATACCGGATAGCATTGCACATCGTGGTAATCGGTGTTCAGGCATACGTAACACGTGGCCCAACCATCTCAGTCGATGAAGGTTCATAACCTCATCAACTGATTTACCATCATTCCCTAATACCCTGCGTCTAACCTCACTATTACTTACCCGGTGATCCCAGCAGACGCCAGCAATATTTCTAAGGCATCTGTGGTCAAATACTAATAGCTTACAAGTGTCTTCTACTCTTAATGACCATGTTTCGCTGCCGTAAATTAAAACAGAACGGACTGCCGCGCAGTATACTCGTCCTTTTATTGATAGACGGATATCTCGCCTTCGCCAAAGGTGACGTGAGTAGGCAAAAGCCAAACGAGCTTTTTGAATCCGTGCTGAGATTTCGTCAGACACCAACCCATTAGGGCTGATCAGACTTCCAAGATAAGTGACGTTGTCAACGCGTTCGACTACTTCACTCCCGACTCGATTTACGCTTCGTGTATCTGGAAGCCCTGATTCTGCTTCCCGTGGCCTCGCCGGCGTAGGTATAGCATTGAGTCCTAGGGCAGAACTAGTTCTCTTAGACTGAATCCCAGTAGACAGTCGTTTGTGCGCTGTCCGACTAAACAGAACAGTAAGGACTCGGAAAGATAGGGACACTCGTCGTTGCCTCTTCGTCGTCTCTGCCTATTCTCCCACTGACTGCAGCTCAGATGATGTAAAAGATGAGTTTTACAAAACGCTTTCCGACCTCCGAAAAGCTAGGCGCTCTGATGTAGTAATAGTGGCTGGTGACTTTAATGCTCATGTAGGTAAACTAAGCGAAAGGGAAAGACACCTGGGTGGATCTTATAGTGTTGTGGCTCAAAGAACAGATAATGGCGACCATCTGTTGCAGCTATGCTCAGATAACCGCCTGTTCCTTGCAAATACTAACCTTAAGCATAAGGAAAAACATCTTTTAGCATGGCGACCCCCTAATTCGTCCCAACGTTGGACCCAAATAGATTACATCGCTATCAGCCACCGATGGAGGGGCTCGATAGAAGACTGTCGCTCATTCTGGAGCACATGCTTATATTCAGATCATGCTCTAGTGCGAGCGCGTATTTGTCTGCGTCTTACTGGACGTAGGAAATACGCTGCAAGAAACCTTTTAGGGTCCTACTTAATGATAGTCAAGCTAAGAGTATATTTCAGGAACAACTAGGAAAACAGTTAGGCAGCCATGTATGTGATGCCCACCCCGAGGCAGCATGGAATGATATCCGAAAAGCTGTGGAAACAGCAATGATAGTACGGTAAACCACAAGATTAGGGAGAAACACTGGATCTCAGCAGCATCTACCGCACTGATAGGTGCTCGAAAACTCATCCCATATGGCTCTGAACATAATGAAGAGCGGAGTCAGCTTAAGCGCAAGCTGACAAGAAGTCTACGCAATGGTCGTGAACAGTGGTGGGTAGCGAAAGCAAGAGAGATAGAAAATGCAGCGATAATAGGTAATAGCAGACAATTGTTCAGACTCGTTAAGGAAACCGGTATTAGGAAACCGACTGTTAGCGAAACAATCTCAGAGAAAGATGGACATATTCTACATTCCTCAATTCAGGAGATTGGATCGATGGGCAGAACACTTCAGGGATCAGTTCAACTGGCCTTCAGCCACACTTCGGTTTCCCACGATCTCCAGTCAACCTGAATGGCAAATTAATGTAGGTCCTCCGACTCTTTACGAAGTTAAAAAGCTATAGAAAATCTGAAGTGAGGGAGAGCAACAGGCCCTGACAGGTTCACTCCTGAGATTTTTAAGGATGGTGGTCCAGTATTAGCAGTGAGATTAACTAAGATCTTAAGTAGAATTTAGGAACTGGACGTAATCTCAATCACTGATTGTGCCAGCTTATAAGGAAGGACAAAAGTCCTCTGGGTAATCAGTTTGACTAATATAGTGTCTAAAATATTAGCTTCAATAATTCTTCTGTGCCTAACTAAAGCTCTTGAAGAGCAGACTAGAGAAAACCAGGCTGGTTTTAGACCTGGACGTGGTTGTATAGACCAGATATTCACACTACATCAGGTTCTAGAACACAGACACACATTCAGACACCCCACAATGGTAGTATTTCTCGACCTTAAGGCGGCATTTGACTTTGTTGATCGTGAGGTTCTATGGCAGTGTTTGTCACTGAAAGGAGTACCAAAGAGGTACATTAACTTATAAAGGCTCTCTACTCGAACACAACTGGTAGAGTGAGAGCTTATGGCGAAGTGTCATCAGAATTGATTACCTCAAGTGGTGTTCGTCAGGGCTGTCCACTCTCCCCATTCTTGTTCAACTTTGTGTTCGACGTACCTCACCTTACCCCACGGATTTCCGTCTCCGGCGGTGGCAACTCGAACTGATGTACGTACGTACGAAGTTCTACGTTGTTACTGACTGACTGACTATAGCGCCCTCTGTCTAACCTCAACATTGCTCACTCGGTCGTTACACAAAACAATAACAATGCTTCGAAGACACCTATGATAAAAAACTTCAGTGTAAGCATGTCTTCAACTTTCATAGATCGTTTCCACAGTCATGGTGTTTAAGAAAATGAGTTGGTGCTCAGTATACACTCCCTTTGATTACGAGACGGGTATCTCGCCTATATCACAAGCGACGCAAGCCAGTCGAGTTTTCTGACCCCATGGTGAGATTTCTTCACACACTAATTTACCAGAGGTGATGAGACTTTCCGTATAAGTGAAGTGGTCAACGCACTCAAATGTTTCGCTTCCTATTATTAGTCCAGGAGTTGACATCACCCAGCCTTGAAGTTAAATCTTTCATTCAACGAGAAAAAAAACTCATCCCAAACATGTTTGCATTGTTGCTTGAGATGATACAAAAACCCTGCATTTTGTCAGTCTTCACTGAATAGTATTATACCATCTTCATATTTGAAGTCGATAACTGAACGTCAGTTTGTAAGACGAGGTATTTCATATATCTGGTAGAATCCGACATTTTTGTATTGACGATTGTGACTGTCTGGTTTCCGGCTCAGCTATGATGGACACTAACAACACTTGATTAACTCAACTGTGAAGAGAGAGAGGGAGAAGGATGGTAGAAAGTTGAATTCTATAAAAACAGAGTATTGTACTTAAAACTCACGGGTATTTATCGATGTCCAAACGGATCCAGATAATCAGATATAGGCTGTGACAGTGGGTTGGTGAATAGTTCATTTATGATGGTGCACCCACAAATGGATCTGTTTTACAGTTTAGCCTTAAAATATCGTATCACTTGTTTTATTGTAGTCAGTAATAACTATAATTTAAATACGATTGAAATCCTTGAACTATTTGTTATTGCTTATTTTATTGCAGCCCCTTTTTATCTGACCAAGAATTGAATAAACTTGGTAGGACAACACGAAAAATTCCTGTGTATCTTGGTATCTCTATTGGAATGATTACAGGTGTAATGCGTGCGTTTGTATCATATGATGAATTCCTACGTGCCAATAAATATACTATATTTGTAAACAATGAAACGGCTAGGGTCAGTTATGGGTAGATAAGTGTCTCTTATATTGATGATATAATCCTATTTTTTATGTAACTATTTTTTACGCCTATTCAATCCCTTATGGAGAGTACCATACCATTTTAAATATGTGATTTTTATTTTCTTTAGGCTACTACATATATGACTGAAGGTTTAGATAACTATCTGGCTTATCTGCCTACCATTAAGACTCAAGCCAATTGTATTGTCTTAAAAGTTTTCTCACCATAGTCTGTTGTATAAACTTTGTTTGCACAACTTAAGGTAAAAATTCTTGACGTATATTGGTAATTTAAACAAAAAACATTCAAATATATAACTTATTTTTCATCAACAACTATTTGTGTTTAGTCAAATCAATTGGAATAAAAGTTTAATCATTTCGATCTCTCAAAATCATGAAATATGTATGATTGTCTTTTTGTTTTTCTGGTATTTAATTTCGGTCGACTTCAATTATACATGAAATGAATTAGTCCTTCAAGTTTGTCTAGTATCAATATTTCTTTGTTTCCTCCTCAGTAAATTTTAAAAAATCGGTAATGAAGTTCCTGTCCATGATCAAACTTAATTTATTCTTACACTCTGGATTAATTAACCACCTTTGATATTTATTTAACAAGCTGAATATAACTTTATATTAGAGTGCAATTCTATTTCTTACTCTAATATCATTGCTAACTATTTCTTTATCAATAATGATTTACGGAGTGTTGTTACAAGGAAAAAGAGCAAAGATTTTCCGCTATTTTTGTATTAATTGTTTATGTCTTCCCATCGATGTCTAGGACCGCAATTGATCAGACTCATATTGATATATGTGCATCCTGTATAGATTGACTCGATATTGCCTGAAGTCACAAGCATTATAAGCAGAGACGGATGGTATTCAGCTGTGGAATACAGGATGCGCGTTTCGTCCCATTTGGGGCTCGTCAGCAGGATGTACCTTTATCCAAGGACGAAACGCGCGTCTTGGATCCCACTACTAGCCACCATTATCTCTGCTTATAAAGATTTCCCACTAGCTATGCTTATTTTCATTCAGGTGTGGATAAACCCATACTGTTACTAATCTTTGGTCGATGTCTTAACAAATACTTTAAAATGATAGCGAATTTTTTACTTATCACTTCTGAATACTGGTCAATGAAAATATTCAACGTACATACATATAAGTTGATGTTCATAGTTCCTTAATCAGGCATAATTTTTCTTTCTGATTACAATTTAGACTGAAAAAATCAAGTTATTACTGGGATGAAGTGTAAATGAACATTCACCATTATTATAACTCTTACGAAATAAAATTATGCAAATGTCAATTATGAGTCTTTCTGTTTATCCTAATCTGTTAAGGACATCTCAGAGTCGTCGTTTTTTATTAAAAAAATCGTTTAACCTATATTCGCTATGGGTATACATCTGAATATTTCAAGATAATTTGGAGTTTTACACTATTGTTCAATGCAATATCACAATGATTTATATCCATTGAGGTTTAGTCTAAGATTTTATCATTTTATACTTTTTAACATAATGTTATTGTTTCATGTCTATTTCTATCAAATTTGATCATTACCTTACCACACAATTCCAATTGTATCGACATAAAATTATAAACTGGTTAAATAAGATATATATTGCTGTAAGACACGATAATAGTCAGAAGTGTGTGTATATTGCAAGAAGTTACAAAGTACTTAAATAACACATATACATAGCTCTCAATTGTCTATTTGCAACTTTCCGTGTTTTATTCTATGTAAACTGTTTAGTCGTCTGGTCTCCAAGTGTTCTGCCAACACCGTATTTTCGATCCACTGGAAGTTTTTACAGTCGCTGCAACTTCGACGCCACGTTCAACTACACACCACTTACAAACATCCTTGTTGGTAGCGTCCACTACAATACCATTAAATTTTCCATTGTATATTTTAAAGGAAGACCATAATATATGGATACTAATACTCAAATTATCTAAATTATAATTTCATATGCAATAGTTTAACTAACTGAAAAATAAACAGAATAGAAAACTCTTTTGACAAGCTTTTGTTCACTTTTTCAATTATTTCTTCTGTTTTAGCGTCATTCCTTAGATCATTGTATACTTAAAGGTGCCGTATTTGGAATTTCCACTGGTTGCAAAGTAACGATACTTACTGGTGGATTCTAGTATGTTCACAATTAATTCTTTTTACATGTGATTCGGTATATTTCAACATTTATTCGATATTTTTAACTGAAGAAAATACCTCTTTTTGAATATGGAGATTGCTTGTTGTATTTTAGATCAGCAGGATTGTATTTGGTCAGTTTAACTACCATAACACATTTTAAGAAATCTTTTTACCCATAAGATCTTAAAGATATTGTAGTGGATTATTAAAGGGAAATTGCGGAAATAGTAAAATCTATGGTAGGATAAAATTTATTTTCGTTCAATTGTTTTGTTGGATTACATTTATTTGTTTCAACTCACCATTGTTTCCACACTGTTAATCTCCGTCGTGACTTTTGTCTATCAGTCAAAGGTCAAGTTTATAGTTCATCTATGAGAGTCATTTTCGGTGTTTATTTATTCCCTACTTTTAACCATCGTTATTCAGGAACGAGGTCCTGAGGTCTGGGAATGTTTGTTTACATTTAACAGGGTTAGTAATTATCTGGTTGTTAATATATTGGAACGCTGTCTTCAGTGATTCCAACATATTTCACAAATGTCTCAACAACTTCCACATACGGCGCCAAAATATGTTTAACTTCTAACATTGAAATACTACTCTAGACTGCTTTAATTACTAAGCTATTAGATTAAGCATCCCAATATTTATGTGGCGTAATGCGAGTACTCAATATGGAAGTTATAAGTATATAAATTTTGTTGAGGATGTTAAATCTTCAAATATTATATTTCTGAAGAGAGCCCTATCAAAGTTCATGTATGATTTTTAAGTGAATTTCGGTCACTGGGTTTAGATATGTTTGCACCTTTATCGATTTACTTAGTACGAGGTTAATTAATCCATTTTAAGGTATTTTTGTTATATTCCTAAATTCACTGCCCTGGTACGGCCGAGGGTGGAGAGAGATAGCTCTCACATGGCCACGTGTATAGAGCTACTGCCAGGGAAATCCTACTCATTGCCTTCTCGCGGCGGGGGTGTTGTTTACGGAATTGAGAGGACGAAAAGTGAATGTTCGCGCTTTAGCCGGGTTGATGGAAATGGAGAATTCACCTATGGGAGTTGGAAAACCCTGATTCCAAACCAATGGTGTACATGTGCTCCAAGATCTTGAGGGAACAAATGGAGTATGAACCAATTATTCCTCACCGACTATCATAGGACTGCATATCTTGACGTTTGCTATTACCTTATGGATTAGAACTGCAGGTCAAAGGCTCGGGGTGTGGTCCCTTATGAAAACCACCTGCTTCGGTGTGGGCATCCGGGCAGTATCTCAGCCCTCGTACAAATCAATGATAACTGCTGCTGTCATTGTTATTGTGTGATGCATATGTATCTGGTGCCCCCTTTTAATAATGTTTACGTGTTCAAATAAATATTAATAATTTTATGTACTTGAAAGTAATCTAATTTTTATAGGATCTTCACCAGTACATCTTTGCATGACTTCCCTCTCATCTGAGGATAATTGTTAAAATGTTGTATATTAGTCATCCGGTCGATCCAGTTCGCATAGCTCTCACATCATATTAGAAGAATCTCCCAGGTGCCAGTGATTCAGAATTACCGTATTTGATTTCAATTTCACAACACCCTTGTAAATTATTTTATTTTGAGGATTAAAACAGAATACGGCTAACATATTAACCAGTTTTATTGTAGTATATAATTATACATTATGAACTTACTACTTTAACCTTTTTAGTAGTCAGAGTGATTAACAGTAGAAATCTAGCACAACAGACCATAACGAATCGTGTGATTCATATGCATATTATTCATCAAAGATTAGTTTCATTATTCATGAGAGTGAAATTTTTTGTTTAAAACACTCATATAGACAATCTTTAATATGTCGTTTTGTCAGACTGATATTTTCTTTTATTCATCAAAGCACTCTACCGTTACTGTTCTCCGCAATTCAGGGGAAAACAAGTTACTGGGAACATGCTGTAGGCTGGGGTAAGCATTATTAAATTTTTTATGTATATTTACTTGTAGGTTCCTCATGGCCTATTTTGCGAGATTCATTAATGCTTAGGTTTCATCGGTCGTATTTTAGTTTGTTCATTTACATTCGTAACTCTTACCCAGAAGACTAGTTGTAAACCTGAATCTATCATTTATTCGTGTTTGTTATTTTTTTATAGATGTTACATTTGTTAATCCAATTAATTGCGTCTATTAAATCAATTACAAAAATAACCTTTTTCTAATTTACTGATGATAACTAGGAATTTAATTTTGAGTCACTTATCGGCAAAATTTAGGTGTATTTTTATGACAGCGCTCTCGTTTGTTTGATTCACTATCGATATCGACCTTACATTATGTTATTCATCAGCAAATTGTATTTCATTGAGGATTTTTGCATTAGTCTTGTCTCACTCAATGTGAAGTAGTGATTAATTGTAGTTTATATGTTATTCCCTATTATTTCCAGTAATATTCATGTACATGACTTAGGAAACTACCAACATCTTCAGGTTTATTTTTATTCTGTTTCTAGACCTGTGAGTTGTATCCATACACACAGAGAAATATGTACATTTATTTCCCCACCAATGAATCCTTGTGCCATAACTTCTACCTTGACTCGGTGGTTGAGCTTCCCTATCCTGTTGAATCAGCCGAGCTATATTGGCTAGAACACATGTTCCTTTAGGTCCTACCATACTACTAGGCAGGTCGGTCGGAATATAGTGAACGAGAACAGAGACGGAGTAGCCGAATGTGTTTGAATATAAAGTTACAGAATCTTTTAGTAGAATCTCAGAACCATACAGTAAACACTTCACTTGCAAAATGTCAATCAGTTGTTTCAGACTTTATTGTTTCTTCACTTCCACACCAATCACTCTCTGTCTCGTTCTTTTCTCTTCGATCTTCTCAGCCTTCTGCCTTCAGGCATTTCACTTTCGATTGGTGATACATACTACTTATATCTGTCGACACCAGTAGCACACACCACACGAGAACTATAAGACTAAAAGCAGCAACTTAAGGTCTGAGGGCGATATAATAATGCTAACTGTAGAGGAATGTGGTAATAGTAAGGTGTTTTCCTCGCACAACCAGTATCTACAACTGTGCTGTCTTCTAACAACGGAAGAAAGGGCTAGAAGAGTTCGACCATAAAACTATCATGCCTCACCTTACCCCATGAACTTCCGTTTCTGGCGTTCAGGCCTTATAAAGTGCACAGCTAACGCATCAAAAAGGCCTTGAGCAACCGGGCTCAAGCAGTTGTCCCTGCGGTCACGTTCCAATGTCGCTAAAACCACCACAAATCCAGCTACTCGTTCAGGTCCCTCAAGAAGGTATATCTGTCCACGGTGTGGACATCCGGCAAGTGACAACCGCCCTCATATCTCTGTCAGCACCCGACATCTTTCTGACGAACAAATCCTCCTCTCACCTCTTAATAATTCTTCCATCCCTTTGAGTAACCAGTCTCGTATATCTTTATCACGACGCTCCACCAATGCATTTATTGTTTTCTTTATTTAACGACAAAAATATTGGTACAAGGGGCACCAAATATATATGCGCCGCACAAAACCAGAATTCTTTCAGTTAAGGAAGTAACAACCACTTCTTATGAAGAAAGTAAAAGAAGGTTACAGCACGATCACCACTGGCTTCTATTCTGAGCCATATCTGATAACGTTTCTAGCCTTTGTGTTGCACCATCTCTCAGACCCCAACCAGGGAGTCGTCGGGGACCAACAGAAGCCAGCCCTTCGCAGCTTTCTTTCATACCACGTCACCATGTCATTCACTGACCACCTCCCCGCTTTTTCCAACCAGTCCCAGCGTCGGCAAATAATTCACGACATGGAATTCTCTGGAACGACATTCGTAGAACATATCCAAGCCACCGAAGTCGGTGTTTCAGGCTGGTGATGCCAATTGGGTTATCGTCTCTGCGCCCGAACACATGAAGCATTACTAACATGGTGCTGCCATTGGATGTCAGCAATCCTTCGGAGACAACGTTGATCAAACACAGAGAGTCTTCTAACATCCTTAACTCGGAGAGGCTATGTTTTACAACCATAGGGAAAAGTGCTCACATAGACACGTTGTAGATCCGACCTTTTACAGCCAGACTGACATCACGAAGGCACCAAAGGTGTCCCAGATTGGCATAAGCCGCTCTGGTTTTCACTATACGCGAATCCATCTCATCACTCACGCCACTACCAGCACTTATGCAGCTACCTAGATACACGAACCTCTCGACTACCTCTATCTGCTCACCATCCGGGCTGAGTACAGGATTAGAATCCTGCCAGTCTTGTAGAAGTACTTTGCACTTCGAAGGTGCAAAGCATATAGCATACTTACGGACACTGATTTCCAACTTATTAAGTGCGGATTGTATGGCTTGAGCACTATCGCACAATAAGACAACATCATCTGCATACTCAAGGTCGAGAAGTCTTTCTCTAGACAACAGATCCACACCACCATTGCTTACATCCATCAGAGCTGTTTCCAGAATGTCATCGATGGCAAAGTTGAAGAGGAATGGTGAGATTGGGCAACCCTGTCTGACCCCACTTCGTGAATGGAACAATGGAGAGAGGTGGTTGTATGCCCTCACTCTACGTGATGTGTCTGTATATAGGGCTTTTAGGATGTTAATAAACTTCTCAGGCACACCCTTCTTCAATAGACAATCCCAGAGAACAGTCCTGTTCATCGAATCGAAGGCAGTCCTGACGTCAAAGGACACTACAATTGTTGGCCTGTGATGAGTATGGCGGTGTTCTAACATTTGGCGGAGGTCGAAGATATGATCAATACATCCTCGGCCAGAACGAAAACCAGCCTGCTCCTTGCGAGTCAATCTTTCTAGGGTTTTGAACAACCTACGAAGTATGAAGGAAGCCAACAGTTTGGACGCGATTGGAAGTAGACGTATCCTCCGATAGTTGTTGGATCGATGGTGTGAGCCCTTTTTAAAGATAGGAACAACTATCGACTCATTCCACGATGTTTGAACACTCTCTAATTACCAGACCTTTGTAGATAACTCAGTCAGTTCCATAACCAGGAAGTTCCCACCTTATTTGAAAAGGGCCGGAGGTAAGACACCTGGACCCACTGATTTGTGGCACTTCGAGAGTTGGAGTTTCTTGCAGACCTCCTCCTTAGGTGGATCAGTCGCCATAGGCTATGGAGGGAAGGACAGACTGATCGAGGTGTCCGAAGCAGCAAACCAGTTAAACTGCCCCTCAAAAAACTCTGCCCATTGTTCAAGGCGTCGGTAGATTTAGTGATCGGTATCCCGTCATCTTCACAGACTGTCTCATTCACACCAGACTTCTTGCTCCCAGTGACTTGGATGAGTTGAAAAAGCTTTCGGCAGTTACCAAATGCAGCTGCTGCTCCCAACTTGTTAGCACGCTCCGACCACCAGGCTTCTCGATCTTTACGCAAGGGTTGCACAATTTCACTAAGTAACAATTTTCGTTTATATTCAAATCCGCGGTCACCCGGAGTAGACTGACGCGCTTCAATAAGTTGTAAGGAACCAGAAGAAACCCATTGCTTATAAGTGGGACGTTTCGCGAAGCCGCAAGCAGCTTTACTCGCTATTTTCATGGCGTCATGCTGTTGCAACCAATGCTCATCTATACATTTCGGTGGAATGGTAGCTAGCCTAAAAGCTAGCTTGTTTCGATACTTACTAGCAACAGAAATTTCAACCAATTCCCTGACATAAATTCGGTGGCCACTGAAGAGTATGGTAAGATTGGCGCAGACCAGGGCATGATCACAGTCCAGATATGTACTACAAAAGGAACAGCAGTCTTGTACACAACCATGCCAGCGGTAGATGATCGCGATGTGATCAATCTGAGTCCAGGCTTGAGATGCAGAGGGAGGAAGCCAGCTGGCACATCGGCGATAACTGTCCCGAAAGTTAGTGCTAACTAGAAACAGGTTGTGGTCTGTGCACAGTTGTAGTTGACGGTCCCCGTTATCTGTCCTGAGACTAACAAGTCCCCATCAGCCACCTAAACGGTTCTCTTCTGTGCCTAGACGCCCAACCTGAGCGTTCAAGTTTCCGGCTAGTACTACAAAATCTGTCGGACGTACTTTCTGGAGAAGAACAGTTAACTGGTAGTAGAATTCATTCTTGATTGCATCCGGGCTGCAATCTGTCGGGGCATAGGCGGAGATGACGAAGAGACATCGTTTCTCACGCCGATTTCTTCTCACTTTGATGGAACTTTCTAATCTAACAGCACATAACCGACTGTTAATGGAGATCCAGTCGATTAGTACTGCCTCGGCTCTAGCGCTTAGTGCGACACCAATGTCAGCAAGACCAGACGAAGATGCCACAGGGTCTTCGGATAAATGCACGTAAAACAAGCTTTTTGAAGCGATAGATGAAGAGCGAATTCGTAGTACTTCACCAGAGTCTTGAATACGGGTCTCGGATAGACAACACACGTCGATATTAAGACTTTCTAAAAACATAGCCAGCCCTATCTGTTGTCCGACCTGCATAAATGTGCGAACGTTTAAGGCAGCCAGTTTGAATGGTGCACGTGGTTTCAGAAAAACTGCTTCAGTATTCTTATTTGGTGGTAGCGTTCAATTTTTAACCAGTCAGTGACTCGAGAACGTTTAGACAGAACCGAGTTTCCACCATAGACGAGCTGCTGTATAAGTTGAAAAATAATTATACACAGAGTGGGGATAAAAGAGAGCGAATAAGTGACGTAGTAAATAATGATAATAATAATAATGTGAATCGTTTGACTGTTAGTCAAAGCAAGAATTGTATTTTCCGTAAGTATCGTCATCTCATTCTATTTGTGTGCGGGCTGGTCCTCCCCACTCTCGACCATACCAGGACGTTCGGGGGGCCACCAATGCTGATGATTTGAGTCCGCAAAATATTATCCCTGGACTCTTGAGACCATGTTAGACATTTTAATTTCTGAACATTGTGTTAAATAGGAAAATAGGTTTATTTAGCCAGGACTCTAGAATCTCGCACTATCGATATTTGCTACGTCTCGTAAACACGCATACAGGATCCAAGTAGTCATTTACTTGACCTGACCTTGTTAATACAAAGGGCGCGCACGGTTCACCCTTCGAGTACATTCAGACCCCACTGTTTCTTCCCGTAGCCTCTCTGGGATATGTATATCATTAAGTCTTGAAGCGAAATAAAGATCATTCTCTAGTTCAAGGACGGATTTTGCCTGAATCTTATTGGACGTAGAAAAGCCACACCAAGTAAACCCTTTAGAGTTCAACTTAATAATGAAAAAGTTAAAAATATATTTCAGGAACAACTATTGGAGTTAATCAGCGGTGAAAGCGATATCCATCCTAAGGTAGCTTGTCATGGTATCCAAGAAGCTGTGGAAACAGCAGTGATATCTACCAGTAACTTAAATCAAAAGGTCAAGGGAAATAGGTGGATTTCAACGGCGTCTATAAAACTGATAAATGTTCACATCAAGGAACAGTTCAACCAGCTTTCAACCACACTTCAGTTACCCATTATTTCCAAGCAACCTGAATGCCAAACTGATGTAAGTCTTGCGAATCTTGGTGGGTTTGGAAAGGCTATAAGCAATCTAGAACGAGGCAGAGCACCAGGGCCTGATGGACTAACCCCTGAAAATTTTAAGTATGGTGGTTCAGCTTTGTCAGTTAGATTAGCTGAAATCTTGGCTAAAATTTCAAAACGAAATGTAATCTGATCTGACTGGTCCCGGTAGGTTCTGGAACATAGACATACTTTTCGACGTCTGACTGAATTTGTACTCCTTAACTAGAAGGCGGCGTCCAACTCCGGTTACCATGAGGTTCTGTGACAGTGTTTGTCAATGAAAGGCCTACCAAAGAAATACGTTAACTTCGTATAGGCTCTCTCTACTGAAACACTACTGGTCGAGTCAGAGCTAATGACCAAGTGCCATCAAAATTGATTACTTTAATTGGTATTCGTCAGGGTTATCCACTCTCCTCACTTTTTACTTAACTTTGTCATAAACATAGTTTTAGAGATAACGCTTTCATCGTCTAACTTTTCATGGATTGATCTTTTTATATTCGAAGATTAAATTATGGGTAACTTCCGGGAACTGTTATTATTATATATATATATATATTCTTGTTGTATAACATTTAAGTAACTGGACTTCATATATTTATGTTCCTTTTACTATAAGCTTCCATTTGACTTCTTGACTACTACTATATGACACACTATCCTTAAGTTATTTCCAATTGATTAATTACAGTCTCTCACAATCACAGCCACTTTTTGGCCTGATTTTGGATAATTTGTATCTTTTATTTTATGCTATGCGGTCTGGTTTGCTTGCATACAAGCCAATTATGTCTGAAATATGTGATTCGTACTATGGAAGCTGACTGAGATTGTGTTCTCGTCTCAAATGGACACGGCTGGATGAGAAGAACCAATAAGGACTCAGAGTTAACTCAAAGCTCCTCGTACTGGTTAACGCGCTATTGGGTTGGTACAGTGCCAAGGTCATATAAGTCGTGTTCTAATTGGCTATTTAGTCACGTGACAATTAACAGAGCAGAAGTCATAACACTTCTACCGGGAGATGCACTTCCTGATTAGAGTTTGCTGGTGATATATTTCTGTTTGATAAAGACTAACAAAATGCTGTCTTCTGACCACCTTAAACAACAATGGAAGCTTATTTAAGATGCAGTTTTCTCCCTCCAAATCTAAAATATCACTTCACGATCGACTTGCTTCAATGCCTGAATTAACGAAACGGTATAAAGTAGTTGAACGCATCGACTGCCTCACTTATTTTTAGAGTTTCATCAGTCCTGATGGTTTGGTGTCTGACGAAATCTCGGCACGGGTTCAGAAGGCTCGACTGACTTTTGACAACTTGCGTCACTTATAGAGATAGTGAGATCTCCGTTTTCCAACCAAACGACAAGTTTACTGCTCAACAGTACACTCCGTTCTATTTTATGGACGTGAAACATTGCCACTTAGAATGGAGGATATTCGTAGGTTACTGGTATACGATCATAGGTGTCTTGGAAACATTGCTTGTGTATTTTGGAACCACGAAGTAAACAATGAGTTGGTTAGGATTAGGGTGCTAAGTAAAAATGGAAAGTCGATTGATGAGGTAGTAAAATTTGATCAACTGAGATGGTTGAGACACTTGTCACGTATGCCCAACTGCTATCGTACCTCGAAGGGCGGTGTTTTCTTGTGCATGAGTAAACTGGAATAAAGCTGGGATTGGTAAAACCACAGCATGACGTCAGTCCATGAAGTCGCCGAAAACTTGACTTTACCATATCACTAAGTATCGACTACCTAGTTAGGGTCCGCCTGATTATCGTAAACAATGGTTAAAGACTTTGGGTAAGATGGCTCAAAATCGGTCGCAATGATGAAGAAGTCCATCCATTTTTTTCCATTAAAGACTGAGTCTCGAAATCTCATTATACTTGTTTTCCCTTTTATTATATCTTTTCTTTTCTACTATTACAGTCAGTTGCTATCCCGGGATTTATCTTGAAATAACTTAGTCTGGCTGTGTTAATATGATAAGATAGCTTAGATCGACGTATATATGTGTCAGGTTCTACATTGCATATGACTGACTGACCCTCCGACCGATGTAAACAAACTTCTGATCATATAGTTTATTACTTTAAATTGATTGGTGATTTAGGCATATTGTGTTTAATGTATTGTGTTATTCTACAAATATTTTCGATTTGGTATTCTGTTTTTTTCTTACCTATTAATTTTTCATTTTATATAGGAATTACAGGTTCATTGTATTGCTTTAATCGTGGATTTAAACGAATGCTTATAGCAGGAATGATTGCTTCTGTACCTGGTCTGCTTACTGGTGTTTTATCCATGTTAGCATGTCGTGCATCAAATTCAACATTTGAAGAATTATACGCAAAATATTTAAATGAAACTCAGAAAATCTAGTTGTTAGCATTTCATGTTCGTTTCTTTTTACATAAAATTATTCTCTAATGTATTTTATAGTTTGAACTAATTATTTTCTAATCACTTGAACATTTCACTCGTATCTATCCTATTAAATCATGTTATTACTATTTAGATAGTATTAAATGTACTGTGGTTTGCGTGTTTCTTTTGAAAACAATTTATTTTGGTAATTATAGTAAGCACATTTGGCGAAATCGCTGTTTCTTTGAGGAAGTTGTTTTGATCATCATTTTTAAAATTATTTGTGGCATAAACATTTAGTTAGTCTTAGTAGTCTATCTCTAAGGTCTTCAGTTTTCAGCATCACTCGTATTGACTGTTATATATCCCATTATTTCTCAACATACAGTTTTGTGAATTACAGTATCTTCATAGCCTTAGTTCTCTTTTAAAATCGCTTTCGACATATGGTGTGATTAGATATGCATGAAACATATGTCATCTATGTGATGAAGCCCAACCTTTTTTCAGCTGTACTCTTTATTATCATCTAGTTCTCTGCTGCTGTTTCGCGCGAAATTACATAGTGGCTTGGTAAAATATGAAAACCGTACATTAAATACATTATTCGCAAATCCTCCTTCATTTGTTCTTTACATACTTTATGGTCCTTTCAACCCTATTGTTACTGAGACTTCCCCCTATTTCTCTCTCTGTCCTCTTCAATCCAATGTTATTTTGGAAGGCATTCCACTTCAGACTGCTGCCACATACTACTTATATCTGTCAGCATAAGTAGCATAACCACTATACTTGCTAAGACGCTCAGTAATTAGATTTTCAATGGGCGGTTATAAATAATACAGTGAATGCGCTTCTATACGCTGCTGACAGATATAGTTGACCTCAGAAATTTAAAATATGAACATTTCTGACAATAATTTCGAGTCTGGTAAAATAGTGTCCCTAGAGTTAAAACAGATGGCAGTGAAATCTGTGATACTGAATGTTTCTATTTGTCCGCAGGTATAGTACTACAATAGAAGTCGAGAGGAACACGAAAGAATTTTTCAAACTTTTAATCAGCCGATATTACGGCTTTACTCACACCACTAGAAGTACGATAGTTTAAAAACCATCCCTGTCAAGTAAGTAGATAATGTCGAAATTACAACGAATAACATGAGTTTGAAAGTAACATACCTTTATATCAAGCCTATATACGAAAAAATTACTGACAATGAGCTCGATACCATATTCCAGAATTCAAACAGTCCATTCAGGAAAGTAAATATCGCGTACGATAACAGCAAATGTAAAATTAGGTGAGGAATGCTGTCCTTAGTAGAATAAAAATTAAGTTTAGATCATGAACAAGTAAATAGGTTTTTCGTTTCACGAAGTAGGTTTTTTTGTTGGTGAGAAATTGTGTCTAGATCAGTTTAATTTGTAGTTGATATTGGTCACGAACTGACATAAGTTGGGGTTCCATTGCAACCAAAGGTATAATGGTGAGATGTTTTGTTCTGTTATGCAATTTTCCACAAGTGGACATTCACAAACTTCTAACCAAGAATGAGAAATTTAATTAGCTTGTACATTTCGGGATTTGGAGACTACTTTGAACTGTAACTAGATTCGAACAAGGAACCTACGTATTATTGGCTCAATCTCGAATAAGTTATGTGACTTTGTAGCAGTGGTTATACATATAAATGTTCTTTTATGACGTAAAGCCTTGATAACTTGTAACGATTGCCATAACAGTTGGTTTGTTACTCGTTCCATTTAATTCAATGATTTAGAATTCAGTTGAAAGATATAGCTAGGTAATGAGTTACATGATAACGGGAATGTTACATATTAATTTTAGAAAAAAAACCTAATACACTAACCAGAATCAAACTAAAGTTTGGTCACTTTGTGTTACGTACGTTAGTTCTTCGACTGCTAGTTTGACAATGGTTGTGTTCCAGCGAAGATTCGATTTTCTTTAAAAGGAAATATTTCTGGTTGTGAAATACACTGACTTTAAATATTTTTTAATTCAAAACTATACCACCTAACAATAGTAAGTATTCTAAATATGTACATTCATTTTTATGGCAAGGATATCATGGAAACTTGCAATCACTTGTGTATGATATTGGTCACAAATTGACATTAACTTGGGTGCGTTTGTGAAACACAAAACACCTGGTATTTTCAGCTGTCTGCATCCATAACCTTGCTACTGATTAAATTTATGACTATTAGGTCTCATCACCAAACAGAAAGTGATGCAGCGATTCATATTGAAATTGATCAATTGGACTATCGCAGATTTTAAAAAATTAACAGAAACCCATTTTTAACGTAGGTAAAGTAATGATAAATTAAAATATTGGGTGTTCATACTGCCAGTAATTGCTAACTGTTTCCGTGTAAATCCACTATCTATTATTTTGATAAGACTCAAAGAAGCTGCCTTCTTTAGTGATTGTTTACTTCAAACAACCTACTAGCATAATCACCATCAATCAAATTAACGCGATCACAATATTAAGGACATTTAGTCGCAAATCCCTTTGAACCAACTTGAAAATTCGAATTCAAACCCTTCACATTAACCTTGAAATGTAGATTTGTGAATCCATATGTATGTAGCATTTGTTATGAAATGAAACTCTTAAATGATGAATTTAGAGAAAAAGATAAAACCAGAATAAACGGACGAGATTGATCATTATTTCTTGTTGAGTAATTTAAATACCAGTTTTATAAATAGTATTTTATTTCTTCATAATGGTAACAATATAATTTCTAAAGTTTCGTCAAAATCCTTTGAGATATATCAACTTGATTTCCGAGAATATAATAAAATAACATTGTTATGTTCCATGGTGATCATCCGCCTAACTTAAGCATGATTTAGTTACCTGAAAATTGTGTGTCATTCGCCGAAATTCAAGTTTACAAATAAATAATATCAGAATGGGTTTTGTGGAGATTTTAAGAAATTTCACAGGTTGAAATCATGAGTCAATTGAAGCTAGACCACCATGGAAAACCTGGAAGCACTGGACGGCCGTTTCGTCCTAGTATGGGACTCCCCAGCAGTGGTTCCAGGTTTTCCATGGTGGTCTAGCTTCAATTGACTCATGATTTCAACCTGTGAAATAAATAATAGCCAAGGAAGATATATATTTAATGTAGGTGCTCAGATATATTTAAAAGGTGGGAAGGTCAAAGGTTATATTGCGATTGAATATATTAACATTATAGTGTTCATTTCAAGTGCTCTTATGAATTTTTAATAGAAACATTTCGTAAACAACTTGACATCTAAGAATCGACTCAATTATTACAATTTTTGAGCAATTAAAATATCCAAACGAATCTTTCTCAAAAAGGTTAGTAGTACTTTAAATAACTTTAAAAAAGTTAGATTAAATGTGACTAACTATATTGAAAATCAATTACGGCAAGTGATGCACCTGTCCTAAGTTCCTATGATTATGAACAACACATGATTGACACAATACAAACTAACAATTAGATTAAGGGTATTGGGAATACAATTGTTTGATTACATAAAATATCAATACCGAATGGAATAAACTTTCATTGGCATATAGCAAAAAATTCCAATCTGGTTAACTTTTTGGAAAGCATTAAATCATCAGATAAACACGATGAAAGAAAGGCGATCAGTTGTTTTTCTAATTTTAGGACAATAACAAACTATCCCAAGATTAAGTAAACATCATTTTCAACTGGTATGGAATGTACCATTTTATCAAATTATGTCAATACTTAATCAGTATTCACAAAAAATATAGGATTTCTATAAGCGTTCACAGGATATAAATCTCTTCAAACATTAAGATATATTGCAAGAATGACAGTTATTTTTTGAATTGCATTATTCAAAGCTAAAACTATTCATTTCGTTTGAGTCTGATCAATTGGATTGTTATAGTAATATAAATTAGTCGAAAGATGATCTACCAAAGACTCAGAGAGGTTTTTACTCATTGATGAATATCAATAGAGAAAATAATGAATAACAACATATCATCCTTTCTGACAATTAAAGAGTAATGTACATAGAAGATATTATATTGAAATAACTTTACAATATTGTAATTTTGTCGTGAAGTTTCATTTTTCAATAGTTGTATTTATGACAAACTATCCCATCTACTCTCTTGACAAATCAGCTGACTTTGATTTTGTTGAATATCATCATATACTATAGATATTGGTTAACTTTCATTATCACGTTTTTTTTCGAAACATAATAAAGATTTAACCAGAAATGTATTTTTAATTTTCTTGATTGAATAATATTAGAGATACGAAGCAAATTTTCATCACGAGCTGTGATTTGCTGGGAAACTATTAAAAACTACGGTGCCCTGGATAATTGTTTCTACTCAGTTCTGTATGTCGTAAATGTGTTCAAATATGACCTCACTATATATAGCGAAATTTCTATATAGGATGAAATAACTATCGACTGCTTCTTGGTTTTCGGTAGTCGAAGCCATTTAGTATTATATCGGTTTCAAACAATCTTCATAAACCTTTCTTTCTATAATCAATTTAGCCATACATACATATATACTTTTTTGAACAACTATAAACTAGAAAAAAACGCTAAGTGTAAGTCAGTAATAGTTAGATATTTTATAAAATTTATGACTATTGATCAATGTATTGGAAGATAACAACCTTTCTAATGCTTCTTAGTCTTCAGTGTTAACCAAATCCTATCAGTCAGTTTATAATTTAACTACTAAAGTGAACAATTGACATTATTAAGCAAAATAATCGCTTCGTTTGGTTGAAATATGATCAAATTGAGTTATATGTCTAATAACGTATCAATTCGTAATATTTTCAAGTAAAGCCGTGAATAACATAGGTGCTATTGTATATGCGACCATCTTCTACAATCAAGAAATGGGGCTTTTGTAAAGGCCAATCTATTACTACCAGAGCTTGTTGCTTATAGTTTTCAGTCACGTTCATTTTCCAATATATTCTCCATC